GTTGCTCATTAGCCCCACCCTATGAAGGTCAGACCTTGGTCAACTGTGCATGCAGATCAGTAGTTTAAGCAGGCAGTTAGGCAACCTTTCACTTTCAGCCTCTGTGTATCTTTTGTTTTGATGCAAGTCTCTTGCAGATGGCATGTGTGTGGGTCATGTTTTCTTATCCATTCAGCTACCCTGTGTCTTTTGATTAGAGCATTTAATCCATTTACATGTAAGGTTATTAATGTTAGGTACTTATTCATTGCCATATTTTCCCTTTGTACCTGTGTTTCTCTCTCTCTCTCACTCACTCACTCACTCTCTCTCACTCTCTCTCTTTTTTGAATCAGTCCCTTTAACATCTCTTGTAATGCTGGCTTGATGGAGATGTACTCCTGTAGCCTTCTTTTGTCTGAGAAGCTCTTAATTTCCCCTTCCATTTTAAATGAGAACCATGGTGGGTAGAGTATTTTGGTAGCAGGTCCTTGTTTTTTATTACTTGAAATATGTTATGTTGGTTCCTTCTGGCCTATTGTGTTTCTGTTGAGAAATCAGCTGATAGCCTTATTGGAGCTTCCTTATGTGTCACTAGCTGTTTTTCCCTTGCTGCCTTTTAAGAGTCTCTCTTTGTCTTTAAATTTTGCCATTTTAATTTGTATGTGTCTTTGAGTGGGCCTCTTTGAGTTCATCTTGATTGGACCTTCGTGCTTCCTGGACTTGCATAACTTTCTCTCACTGAGTTAGGGAAGTTTCCTGTCACTATTTTTTCAAACAGATTTTCTAGCCCTTGCCCCTTTTCTTCTCCTTCTGGTAACCCTATCATGTGGACATTTTTGCATTTCGTGTTGTCCCAAAGCTCCCTTAAACTATCCTTGTTCATTTTGAGTCTTTTTTTTTTTTTAATTTTGTTGTTCTGACTGGGTGTTTTCTTCTACCTTGTTTTCCAACTAGCTGATTCAGTCTTCTGCTTTGTCTAGCCTGCTTTTAATTCCTTCTAGTATGTTCTTCATTTCAGATACTGCATTCTTCATTTCCAATGGATTCTTATTCAAGTCTTCTAAGTCCTTTTTTCATGCTGAGGTCATTCCCACTAAGTTCCTTGAGCATTCTCTTAACCATTAGTTTGAACTCTACGTCCGATAAATGGCTTGCCTCGATTTTATTTAGCTCTTTCTCTGGGGATTTCTCCTTTTCTTTCATTTGATGGTTCTTTGTATCCCCATTTTAGTTGTCTCTTTGTGTTTGTTTCTATGTATTACATTGCTCTGCTTTGTTTCTCTGTCTTGTGGAGTGGTTTTATGTGTTAGGAGTCCTGTGGGACCCAGTGGTGCAGACTCCTTCATCTCCTGTGTAGATACTCTAGGGATGTCCTTTGTGTGAGTTATGTGGACTCTCTTGTTGTATTTGTGCCCTGATTGTTATTGGCCCACTTGTTGGTGGGAGTTCCCCTCTGGCTGGCTAAGAGGCTCAATCCCAACCACATGTTGTACACTCTTGTATAGGTGCTCGTAGAACAAAGCAAAACAACACAAAAACTACACCAAAATGAGCAACTCTCCTCAACTATAAACAATATTGACAACAAGAGAGCAAAGAGTAATAAAGGTGAAAAGGAATAGTAGAGGAAGGGGAAAGGAAAAATAGTACGAGAAGACTAAAGAAAACTGAATATGAGAGATGAGAGGGGAAGAGAACTACTATGTTTTGCTGTGTATAATGCATACCCATAATTTTTGTGCATTATACATGATATTGTTATGCCCATTATTGTACCCACAGTAAGTAATCATTATACCCATGTATAATGCACATCTTTATTTTTTTCCCTCAAAAATTTGGGCAAAAAAAAAGTGTGCATTGAATATGGCTGGTAAATAGGAAGAGGAAAACAGCAAAGATCACAAAAATAGTAAAAGAAGAAAAGAAGGGGAAAGTAGAGTAATCAAAGATAATAGTAGAATAGGAGATAAGAAAGAAAAATTAAAGCACCAAAATTGAAAGAAAAATTAAAGCACCAAAATGAAAGAAAAAGAAGAATACATGAAAAATAAAAAGGCTATGAAAAAGAAAAATAGCTAAGATAATGAAAACAGAACCAAGTGGATTCGTCTCAGCAGAGTTCAGATCTCACCTGCTGCTTTCTCCCTTTGGAAACTGCTCTGATGTCTAAGTCTGGTGTAAAGTAGTGTCAGGTCCTGTCCATGTCTGGCCTTCACCTGCTTTATTGAAGCTACAAGTGATCCACAGTTTGTGACTGATTCCATCAGGCTTGGATGCTCCTGTGATGGGCCAAGCTACTCTGCAAAACTGGCTTTTATCAGCACTGGGTTCTGGGGCATGTCAGCAAACATCCCAAGTCACCACAGGATCCATCTCTGCCTACCTCTGCCTGCTGACCTGCTGTCAGTCTTACACTATTTACTGACCCAACTGTTTCTTAGAGGGCTTCTGGCAGAAACCTAGGGCTGTGGCTCCTGGATCTCCCAGGGCAGGTGCCTTTCAGACTTCAGAGAAGATGATAAATGTGTTCCCCTTCCTCTGACCAAAAGGAGTTGAGTTATTAATATTTGAAAACTAGCTACTATGTGGTTCATAGAATAATGCAATACTATTACCTAAATTAAAATCATTGCAGTCTCCAAAATAAAGATTGGTGAGATCCACATCCTATTGAGAAATCCTATTATGGAATCCTCTGTAGGTCTGTGTTTTGCTTGTAACTGTTTTCATGGTTCTGTGCCACTTAAAAGCCCTAGTATTTTGTTTCTCTCTTTCACACTCCAGTCTTCTTCCTTTTTCCATTGCCCTTAAAACTGTAGTGACCCATTATTCTTCAGCCTTTCTACATACTGTAAAGTGAAGAGATGAGGAAGTGTCATCTCCTCAGGTTAGCTATCTAAGCAGGTAATTTTTCTTTAAAGCTTCCACAATGACTGAGCAGTTTATCATTTCTTTTTCATTAATCACTTTGAAACTTATATCTCAAGTTGATCTGTGAAGCTAACCATTAATTTTTTTAACTTGTTAAAAGATTTTCTTTTTAGAGAGAGGGGGAAGGAGAAAGACTGGGAAAGAAATACCAATGCCTCTATGTGCCCCCTACTGGAGGCCTGGCCGGGAATCAAACTGGTGACTCTTTGGTTCTCAGGCCAGCACTTAACCAGGGTTACACAGCTAGTGGCAGGGCTAAATCCCAGGCCTCCTAAGTTCTTGGTGAGTGTCCTTTCTATCATGTGACAGCTAGAGTTTAACCACTTAGTCTCATTTAGCCAGATTCAATGCTATTCAATTGACTTTTCAAGGCTGAGGAGTCGAACTGGCCATATGATATTGAGAAAAGTACTAAAACTATAAATGGAGTCAATGGTGCTGTGCCCTAGATCCAGCTGCACTCAACGAAATAATGTCTAGTATAGGATTTTTGAATTCATGTTGTGACTGATGAACATATAGGATTATATGTTATACTGCATGTGCTGAGACTTTGAGAGCTTTCAAAAGACAATGTTTTCTGCAAAATAGATATTTGAACTTGAGTTTAGCCTGGGGGTATATCTCTGTTTTGAGACTAGAAGTTTGTTTAAAGAAGAAATGCATATTATACCCTCAAACTGATTAGGTAGATGGTAGAAGAATTGAAGAAACTCATTTTCAGAGAGAAAAAGAAGGATTTCTATGTCACTGCTCAAGCCTCTGATTATAATCAATGTGTATAAATACAGTGATAGAGGGATACTCCTCTCCCCCAATACTCCCTTGCTTTTGGTCTTTTTTTAAGTATCTGTTTGAATGGAAATCAGAATATGCTGCTTCTCAGAACTGGGGACCCTCCAAAGAATGTGTACATTTTTCTCTTTAAATAAAAATAATTACAGAGTCTTTTTAAAATTTTGCTTCTTTTCTGAAGTGCTACAATAAACAGGCCGTGTAAGCCCTGCAGAGTGCCTGTTGCTGGAGGCTTTGTTATCTCTGACACATGGCAGGCAGTGTGCTCTTGTGAGGAGGAACAGTAGAAAATGTGTTCCTCAGTGGATAGGTTGCAGAGGAGCCATCCTGACCAGGTGTCGGTGACCTATGAACCTAGTGCTGCAGACTGAGTCTTCCATTGTCAGCTCCTCTATCTCACAGCATGAGGATAATCCAGTTAGGGGTGATTTTATTTTTTGTTTTCTTAACCCTTTAAGACTAGAAATACAATAGTTGATTTAGTATATAGAATTTTTGGCTAATGTTTTTGAACATAAACTCTTCCTTGACCCAAAACCTTTTAATAAAGTTCGTTTTGGAAGGCCTTATAGCCTGAACATTGGGCCTTAAATGAGGTCTGTTAAGAGAAAACATAAAACAGAATCTTGTCATTGAAATGTTAGTTTTGCTTTTACTAGGTAAACCAAAGATTTTCTCAAGCTTTTATCTCTACCTTGCCAATGATCATGAGTGCCTGAGTTGTAACCATCACATGACATCCATTGAAAAGTTAGGTAAACCCCCAGTTTAATTGGCCGATCGTATGTCACTCTCCTGACCACTGATAAAATAAGGTATCTTGGCCTACTTTATGAGCCACTAATTGAGCTGTTTTGTAAGTCTTGGCTGCAAACCTCCACAGAAAGTAGGTGAAAATTGGTTTTTTGTTGTTTTCTTTTCTAGATAAGGTGCAGGATATAGTGGAAAGAGCAAGCTTTGATGTTAGACAGAGTTAGGTTTGCAAACTGGTAAGCCTGGGCTGCTCTGCCCTGTTTTTAAAAAAATTCTTAGACAGCCTACTTTGAAGGGTCAGTGTGAGGACTAGAGATAATACACATAAAGTGCTTAGCATGTAGACAGCCTTAAGAAATGGTTACTGCCATTATTATTGCCACTCAGCACAAGATTACCAAGACACTTTCTGAAGACTTCATTATAACCCTCTATTCCTGACCAGTCACCTTCTCATCAGTCCTTCTTTACACATCATAAGCCTGGTTATGAAAGTGTGTGTATTTTAAATTGTATTATTTGCTTGCTTTTTTCAGATCTGTAAGAGCAAAGCTAAAGAATCTCAGCAGTATTATCACAGCTTGGCTGTTCGGCAGAGTCTGGCTATCCATTTTAACATCCAGCAGGACTGTGGTCATTTCCTTGCTGAAGTCCCTAAGCGTCTGCTTCCCTGGAAGGATCCTGATGCCCCTGAAGAGGAAGAGGATGAAATGCAAGAGAATGACGAAGAAATGAAAGGAGAAAGTGATGGGAAAAGCCCAGAGTCCTGCTCTGAAACAGAGTCATCCCAGAAAGAAAGCCAGGGAGTCATTTGCAAGAAGCAGAGAAGTCACGTTGTGGTCATCACCAGAGAGGTTCCCTATCTCACCATGGCTGATTTTGTGAAAGATTCTCTGGCCAAGCACGGGAAAAGCCCCAATGTGTATGAGAGGCAAGTGTGTCTGTTGCTCTTGCAGCTGTGCTCTGGCCTTGAGCACCTTAAACCCTACCATGTTACTCACTGCGATCTACGTCTGGAGAACCTGCTGCTTGTCCACTACCAGCCCAGAGGAACCACCCATGGCCTTGGGCCTGCAGAACCCAATCCCACCTCATCTTGTCTCATGAGGCTTATAGTAAGCAACTTCTCTCAGGCCAAGCAGAAGAGCCACCTGGTGGACCCTGAGATCCTCCGGGACCAGTCCCGCCTTGCCCCAGAAATCATAACAGCCACCCAGTATAAAAAGTGTGATGAGTTCCAGACAGGCATCCTCATCTATGAGATGCTACACCTGCCCAACCCCTTTGATGAGAACCCAGAGCTGAAGGAAAAGGAGTACACTCAAGCAGACCTGCCTCGAATCCCACACCGTTCCCCCTATTCCTGGGGCCTTCAGCAGCTGGCCAGCTGCCTCCTGAACCCCAACCCTTCTGAGCGGATCCTCATCTCAGATGCTAAAGGTGTCCTCCAGTGTCTCCTCTGGGGTCCCCGGGAAGATCTCTTTCAGACTTTCAACACCACCCCCAGCCCAGTGCAGAGGAACGCCCTGCTCCAAAACTGGCTGGACATCAAGCGAACAGTGCTGATGATAAAGTTTGCTGAGAAGTCCCTGGACAGGGAGGGTGGGGTCAGCCTTGAGGATTGGCTTTGTGCTCAGTATTTGGCTTTCGCCACTCCAGACTCCCTCAGCTGTATTGTGAATATCCTGCAACACCGTTGATGTATCCTGGTTGCTGCTTTTACTTCACCTTCTCCCACACACTTCCCCATCCCAGTACTCATACAGAATTCAAGGAAAGGAGAGAGACAAACTGTTCATCCCTGTTCACAAACAAATGAGTCTACTCAGAAAGGTTATCCACAGCTCCAAATCATGTGAGCAGCGGAGTCTGTCTTACCTTCACAGAAATTCAACTGCACAAACATTCATTTGCCTCCCATTGGGAAACCTTTCACCCTAATTGTCCCACAAATTCAGGTAAAAAAATGAAAACATTTTTGAAGGGACAGCTCCTTTGTAATGTATTCAGTGACCTATGTCCAGTTCCTCCATAATTCTGAATTTCACCTTTTTCACCAAGTACTTATTTTTACTTAGCAATAGATAGATTAACCAATTCTTATCATCCACTAAGCTCACAAAACAGACTCTCTTCCTGTGTTACCAGGCAGAACTGCCATCCTTACTATCCACTCAGTTTTGGTTCCAGGGACTAATATTCCTTATTTCAGGAAATAGTAGAAGTACAAGGAGAGATCCCATCCCTTGGGTCATGGACCCATTTTCATTTCTGTTGTCAATAACTGGGTGCGTTGCATGGTGGGTAGCCCTAACAATCTCCCCTCTACTGCCACTGCCCAATTTTCCTTCACCTTGACTCTGTCCCCACTTGCCAGTGACATTTGTGCTTTTTGGCCTCTTGTGGCATAATAAAGAGCTGACCCAAGGTGGTATCACCCACTCCTCAGCAGGGCAAAATGCACTTCAGGTCTTATAAACAGCTGGCAGCACAGAAGGAGATGTTTTTCCTGCATGTGCAATTCTCGAGGGACCATCATGGGAACAGTGTTTTTAAAGTACCACTCTTTGATTACTGTCAGAGTTGGCAGCCAGGGCTGGTGGTGCTCAGATCTCAATTTTTTTCCCCAAGCAGTAACTGGCCAGCTTTCTTCTATCAATAGCCAGTATTAACTAGTCTACCAAATGCTATGGATAACTGTCCTGGATGAAACAGCTGTCAGTCAAGGTCTAAGATCTTCTTAGAGGGCACAGTGCAGATGGCTATTATAATGGTCAGAGGCAGGAGGAGGGGAGAAGACCGCAGGTAAGACTACTGACCTCCTCTTTAGAATGCTGACCTTTGCTGGAGAAATTCCCTCTCAGTTGCCCTAGCATATTGACTGAAATGGCTCTGGAGGACAGCTCACAGGGAAACTCAATAGTTGAGGTTAGTGGCTGAAAGCTGTTTCACTGTACGTGGGGTCTGTGCTTCTTTCCTATGGATATATGTGCAATTTTTAATGTATTTTTTAGCTGTGTATTACAGTGTTTATGTTGCAACTTCACCTGAAGCAAGATGTATAACACTCCTCCCCTTCCCTTGGCACATATTTGCGCTAAAAGACAAGTGTTCCTTCCATGGGGGTATGTGAGTTTGTGTGTGCTTATTTTATTCAAAACTGTGAGTATGTTTACTTAAATCTTGCTATTCCAAAAGTCACTCAGTGTGAGTGTCCATACACATTTGTGCCTGTGTGTGCACATGCAGGCTAGAAGTAGAGAGAGGCCAGGCCTCTGGGGGAGCCATCTGTGGCAAATGGATAGACATGTTCTTTGTACCTAGTGAGTAAAGGAGCCCTTGGGACTCTTGTCGCCCAGCACAGGGTTTCTTAAAGTCAGGTCTAGCTCTGTAGTATTACTTAGATAGCACATAAGTGGCCTTTGGAAATTTCTTAGTTTTTAACATTTTTAACAGCCTTTCATGTGATTCACCTATATCAAAGAGGATCAATAACAAGAATGTATTTTATTATACCCTTTTTTTTTAAGAGAATGGCATACGTGTGACTGCATTTGAACTCTGTCCCTGTCCTCCCAGCCAGCAGTACAGGACTCCCAAAGGAGATAGTTGGGTGGCCCGCAAAGAGTGCCTCCTCTAGCCAGAGTGCAGAGCTCTGCCCTGAGGGGAGGCCACAGAGTGAGCATGCCACTGTAGGCCAGGTCTCTCAGTGTCCTGTGGCATGGCTGTGACTTGCCTAATTACACGCTGAAGTAGCCCACGGACCACTGACCGTGTCAGCTAACACATTCCCTTACCAGCCTTCCCCTGCATACACACCATTTCCTGATGGTTTGTGTATTGAGACTGTCTCTCTCTTGATGTCACTTTTGTGCCTTGCCCATGTAAATTTAAATGTTGACTATTTAATAGGGTTTTACACTTAATGAAGAAAGTTTCCTTGTCCCTCTATTTGTTCCCTGAGTATTGTCTTCCTTCCTTCCTTCCTTCCTCCCTCCCTTGCTTCCCTTCTCCTTCTTCCTTCCTTCCTTCTTTCTTTCCTTCATCCTTCCTTCCTCCCTTCCTTTCCTGCCTTCCTTTTCCTTTCTGTTTTGACCTGAATCCAGTCTACTTAATTTTAACTCTAATATAAGCACAGGCACCGTCTACTACCATTGTATTATATAGCACTGGAAACCAAGCATCCCTTCATATCAGATATGTTTGGTACTGTTTTTATATTCAAATTCGTTAAGGGTAAAAGACAAATGCCAACTAGTCATAGATGGGCCTCAGGCTTCCCAGAGAGAGGGATTACATTAATTTTTTCTCTGAGTGATGGCTGAAGAATGAGAGAGAAAGGGAAGGTGGTGTACAGGTTAGAGCCAAATTGGCAAAACAACTTATGTCTGGGCAAGAAGTACTCATTATTTGGTCCTCAGAATATTTTTCTACAATAATGAAATTTAGTCAATCTAATATCTCAAATATATATATTTACATATACATATTTACATTTACATTTTAATTATAGTAGGAACTTTGAATTCATCAACTGAAAAGAAACCCTATTAGACAAAGACAGGCATATATATATATATATATATATATATATATATATAGGTTTGGACTGTGACTAGTATAGCACTTTAAGTTTTCTCAAGTAACTTCGAGTTACTGTCTTTAATATTGATTGGAATTTTTTTCTTTTCTATTGAAGTCTGTACTATAGTTTCTTACATTTATTTTGAGACTTTGAACAATTAAGCCACTGTTGGAACTTTTCCTTCAGACACATGAGCAAGAATAATCTCTCTGACACATCTGGGTGTTGGAGAAAAAGGACAATGGCTGGAGTAGTCAAGACCAAGGCTAAATGTGTAGGAGTCCCTCAGCAGAGTGATAACCTGGTCTGGGGAGGAAGAGGATCAAATGTTCCACAGAGGGAACTAGGACTACCAGAGCTCTCCCACACTAGCCTGAGAAGAGCCCCTTCGGTATATGTGTAGTAATACAATGCCCAGACACTAGTTCATGAAGAGTAACAGAAGGATGGGAAAAAGAACAATTGTAACCTGTGGAATCAACAATAAAAGAATCATGAGTGAGGTCTACCAACCCCTAGGCTAAGTTAGGATTGGAAGCAGGAGTATGGCAGTGGGTTTCAAGTTGCCCTCTGAAGATGAACTGGGTGAGGTGCAGAATGGGGCACAAATGGCCACACTACTGACATTGAGGGGCTAAAAGTATATTTGGGGGGATTTTAAAAGCCTGAGTAGCATTTCATTGTCAGATTAAGTAAGATCAGTTTTACTTTTAAACTCAGAATGAGTTTGTGAACACATTTCTAGAGTAGAGCTACCTAAAATTGTATTTCAAGTTTTTAGCAATACAAAATTTCCGTGAAAGATCTTTGGAGCCTACTATGTAGTATGGCATAGAAGGATTGCACTCAGCTTCCCCAAGTTTTGTTAATACTTTGGTGCTGGGAAGTAACTTGACTTGGTTTTGCTGGTAACCTGCAGCCAGGATTTCCCCCTAGATTTTTACTAGCAGTGATCTGAAAAAAACACAGGCTAGTCCTAGAAATTGGGATGGACTCATGATACTACAATACATTCCAAATGATTCTAGATGTGAAACTAAAGTACGAACATACTTGGAGAGGGGAGAGAGGAACTTGACTCCCTAGGCCAGCTCTGACATGCTTTTATTCCCCTCATTAGTTGATAAGGATTGAAAATCCTGGTAAATGAGTGAATAGGATGGCTGTCCACAAAACCTCACTGAAGCTCAGATTCTCAAAGACCCAAAGTGCTGTGCTGACACAAATCCAAGTGCTGCTCTTGTTGAAGTGTGTACTGAAGTCCAGGTGTCCATGGACATCAGTGCCCAGAGTGGGGCTCCATGGACCCAAAGTGATGCCACATGAGAAGCAGAGGAATGCAGTGCGAGACCCCAGACAGAAATTGTACCCAAGGAATCAAGCCGTCTGTCTTGCTGGTGCTGAGGTGATGGTTTTGGGCTAGAACAGAAGCCACAGAGGGAAGTTCACATACAGTCCATGTCAAGGTATTTGGCTAATAAAATAATCCATCCTCAAAAACGTATATTTTCTTTCTTTTTTTTTAAACCAAAAATGGAAAAACATCTATTTTGTGTACTAGGGGGAAAAAGGAAAGAGATGATGGTGATGAGGCGATGAAAGTCTTAAAGAGATGTGTTAGTTTCCATGGGTTTGTTTAGAGAACTCTTGGGAAAGCTAACAAATTATAATAGTTTTTATAAACCATTCTACAGAGGTGTTTACCAGTCATCATGACCATCATTCAGTATTTTAAGTGCTCAGAATGTACAAGGTGCTATACAGCTGCTAAACATACCTTCTCTGCAGCTGTTTGAAATTAGAGTAGATTTTTGCATCAGCCACTGCTAGGTTTCCCCACCTGGGTGGACTGCAGGAGCCTGCACTCTGGATGACCATTACCTGGTTCCCACCCAGCCCCATGTTTCCTTTCAATCAAGGAAGTTTCAGGGAGTCAGAAGAGGTTGGGAATTTTTTAACCTAGCAGAAGTATAGAGTCATATATTTTGCTACAAATATTATTGTATTGTGGAAAATTCCCTTTGCCCTTACAGTGTATGGAAAGTATGTGTGTGTCTGTAGCCATGATAACTTGAATGTTGAACCAGCCCTGGGCTTTAGGGTAGCATTTTTGAAAGACATACCAACCACACTGCTTCAGAAAACTTGCTCTAAACACTACCTGCAAATCCCTTCCGTTACCAGGTTTAAAGAGTGTCATGTAATTTGAATCATGGCATTCCTCATTCCAATCTCTTTAGTTTTTTATGGCTCTCTCCACACTTTATATTTGAAAATGTTTCTGTCGCGCTTTCCTGAAGCCTCACCTTTCTATTTACATATTTTAGAGTTGTATAAATCTACCAGTGAATGGTCTCCCCTTTCGCCGGGTAGTGCTGCCCTTTGGTTTGCTGTGGTACCTTGCTGTGTTCTCTGTGGCATGTTACTGTGTAAATAAATTCATTTTAAAATACTCTAAAAACCGGACTAGCACTTGTCCTTTCAGTGCCTCTATCACACTGACATGTAGGGGAGGGTTCAGTTGCAGACACTGTTATGTCTTACTCCCCAGGACTCGTGCCTTCTTGGATATTCATCAGATGTTAATCTGGACCATGTTTTCTGTGCATCTTCTCCCTAATCTGAGGAAACTACACCTGGAAGAAAAAGTGCAAGCCTTCTGCTTTCCCCAGAGCTCAGAAGGCTGCAGGTTTGCTGTGTGAGATTGCTCCCTGGTGGCCAGTCCCAGTTATAGCCTGACTGGGTTTGTATTGTGTGTTCGGAGGTTTGGTTAGCTGGCTGTGGCTGACCCCATTAGAAATCTCCAAGCAGTGCAAACAGTATGAACATGGACAGGGCCTTGTTGAGTATCATCTGCTAAGGAATTAATGTGCTTAAGGTACGTAGTCACACACACAGTCCTTACAAAGCCAGACAAGCTAATTAATGCAGACGCTTCAACAGCAGAGAGACTACCTGGCTTAGTCAGGAAGAGTTGGCAGTTGGAGGAACAGCTGCCATGTTATTAAGAGTAAAATGGATGGAAGTGCAAAAATATAAACTCAAAATTTAGACCAGATTTTAGAGCTCTAACCCTTGCAGTGGACACTGTCTCCAGCCCAGCATTTCTGCTCCTCTCCACTAGCAAGAACTCGGCTTTGCAGACATACTATTTAAGGCACATTATGGAAAAATGATAGCCAGACTCTGAGTTTTGTGTTGCTGAGGAAGTAAAACGCATTACCATGTGGGCTGCAAAGCTTTGCCTGTGTTACCTGGGTCCGGGAGGAAAGGTCAGCAACAGAACCTGAGAGACAGCCCCCAGGGACGCAGGCTCTGCTTGGGGAGGTCCTCAGCCTGCTTGCTAGGGAGGAGTCTGGGGACTTACCCTTCCTAGTGGTGAACACAGTACACCTGCTTTGGGGGGCGGGAAAGGAACCAAAGAGAGCAGGCAATCATGGCTGAGAGTTCACACACCTCAGAGATGGAATGCACTAGGCTAGGGTTGCTGTCTAATGCTAAAGTACGAATGGCCAACCTGGGACCCTGGAGGGGCATGAGGCTGCCTGAGCAGACCAGTTTAGAGTTGCTCTAGTCAGGCTTCAGAGAAATACAGTTTGAGTTCTTCCAGTGGGGTCATTGTGGTTTGATATAACTGGGAAGCCTGGAGAGAAATCACCCAATTTCCCATCCATTATTTCACCCAGCATGAGATCCATTCCTGGAAATTCCATCAGTGGCTTCTCTTTGATTCAGAGGTGGTGGACCATGGACATTTAGACAGGAGCTTTGGTTTCTACATGCCTGGAGACTGGCTTCTTCCAATCCAGGCCACAGAGTGTGGGTATTTCCTACCTGTAATGCACTGGTAAGAGGAGCTATCCGCAAACCTGGGGCTGCAAGTGTGCACCATCTGTTCCAGGAGCTCTCTGCCTGCTCTCCAAAGCCCAGAAAATGCTCCCTTTTATGTGATCCTATTCCCTGTGAGGGAAGGGACTTCATTAGTGCCTTAGGAGCCAAGAACAGCAATTGCCAGGTCACAAGTTGTAAGAAGGGCTCAAGACAATTACAGCTGAAACAAAAATTTGATTTCGGCCCTGACTCATGTGGCTCAGTGGATTGAATGCAGGCCTGAGAACTGAGAGGTCAGCGGTTCAATTCCTGGTCAGGGCACATGCCTAGGTTGCAAGCATGTGAGAGGCAGCTGATCGATGTTTCTCACATTGATGTTTCTCTCCCTCTCTCCCACTCCTTTCCTCTTCCCGTCTCTCTAAAAATAAAAATTAAATTGGATTTCACACTGAGTTGGGAACAAGAAGGAATCAGTTGCCAAGATCCAGTTCTCTCAAAGTTGCAAACCTTGAGTGGAAACAGGATGCCTGACTTCCTGGAGATTCCATGTGATTCAGCACATGCTCTGGAAGGTACATGGAAGCAACCAGAAGACAGTGGTGCTAGTTGCCTGTCTTGTCTCAGCTTGAGAATCAGAGTGGTGCTGGGAGAGGCGCTGGACTCCTGTGAAATCTGTAAGGGGGTGGAGCCTACCAGGGGCCTCAAGGGTAGAGGCAGCTCTACCCCTGCAGCTCTATCAAGGAAGCAGAGCTCTCGGCTTGCTGTGGATCTATCACCTTCACTAACTGTAGTGATAGGTGAGTGACCAGCCCGCACTTGAGCTGGAGTCCTGGAAACAGGGACCAGAAGTGAAAGACAATAAATCTTTCTAAGCCTGTGGCTACCTCATTTTCAATTCCCCTTACCCCAAATGCCTTTCCTCCCTGTACCACCCACTACCCAGCGGCCTAGGGGCATCATGTCTGAAACCAACCCAACGCTACTGCCACAGTCTTTCCAGCCCCAATGCCCCTGGGCCTGCTGATGCCACCTAACACTGGGGACAGAACCCAACCTCTAACCTTCATGCTCTGCAGACCTCCCTCCAGCCGTGCCCAGGCCCAGAGTTGCTCAGCTTTCCCCTCAGACTCTTCTTTCTCCTCAGCCACCTGCACTGGGCATGCTCTGGAAGATCAGGGAAGCTGGCCCTGCACAAGGACCTGCGTGTGGCTGGCCTGGGCATAGCACCAGAGAGCCCCCAGGCTATGGCCAAGTGAGTGCCAACACTAACAACAGTATATATTTCCCACACAGTCTCACTTGATCCTCACTACCAACCCATGAGATGGCTCCATTCTGCCCATTTTTCACTCAAAATAATCCAAGCCATAGTTTGAACTGTGTGTGACTTCTCATTCATTACTCTTTCCTCCACTTCGTCCCACCACCTACTTGTGGCCAGGACACTTGGGAGTACTATAGGAGCTCAGGGGAACAGGGAAGAGCTTCCTGGGTGGTTGTAGAGCCATGAAGGAGGAAAGGCCTTTTCTGCATGTGTTCTTTCATTCTTAAATGCCATGTGCTGGGAACCTAGTGGTAGTCAAAGCCAGCAGGAGCCCTGACCCAACTCTGATAGGCACAGAGGACACAAAAGCTGCCAGCTGGAAGGGGAGAAAGGGGCAAATGTTCCCACACACCGCTAGTGCCTGGGGAATGGTTTGGAGAAATGAGGCCAGAGTCTAGAACAAATTATCTTCTTCCCATTGGCTGCGCCAAACAAACAACCTGCAGGCAAAGGCAAAGTTCTTTGGAAGCCCAATCTGAGCCCAAGAATGCTATATAGCTCTACACGTGCTGAAAGCCCTCACAAGGCCAGGTAGGCCACCAGTGTGGGCTAACCATATCTATTGTCTGCCTCCAGGAGCTAGAAACCATATCTGAAGGGACCTTGAGCAGATTTCTTAACCTCTGTGAATTCCACTCATCTGTAGAATGGGGGCCTTGTCTAACATCTTTTTGCAGACAGCTGGGAGGCTGAATCAGGTAACATTTGTGCAAATGTTTTTAGACTCCCTTCTTAAAAATCAAAACACACTCGCCCTGGCTGGTGTAGCTCAGTGGATTGAGTGTAGAACTGTGAACCAGACAATTGCGGTTCAATTCCCAGTCAGGGCACATGCCTGGGTTGCAGGCCAGTTCCCTGCAAGCCACTTCCCAGCAGGGGACGCACGAAAGGCAACCATACATTGATGTTTCTCTCCTTCCCTTCCCCTCCAAAGATAAATAAATTAAATTAAATTTAAAAAAATCAAAACACACTTGAGGCATTCAGAAAGAAGCTGGGGAAAGGAGAAAAGCATTTGAGGGCTCAGATAAAATTAGTTGTAGCCTGAGAAGAGTGGTCTCTGAAGGAAAGGGTGTTGTCTTGAAGGGATGATGTTGGAGGGGCAACACCCTGATGGCTCCCCCTCCAGTATTTGCACCTCTGGTTTTGCCTACTCTCCAGACCTCCAACTAACTCCGGGCCAATCCATTCTGCCTTGCAGAATGGGTGAGGGTCCCAGCCTGACACTGGGGTGGGGATCCCCTCAGAATGTTTGTGTTCCTGTGGGGCAGGCTCATCAGGGGTCTGAGTGAAGCATCGAGGGATCTACTGGAGGGCAAGGCCCCAGGAAAAGGGGCAGTGTTGAATGC